GATTATGGGTTGGAGTCCTCCGACTCGCACCCATGAGCTTTTCCGTTCGGCAATAGGCAAAGTCGGACCTCGTATCGCCCTTAGGTCTAAGGTGTTCAGGCTAGCTACCGTGGTTGCCCGCGGAAGAGGCTGATTAGTTGGACGCCGACCCCGAGGTGGCCGACCCTGAGGCGGCCGACCCCATGGTGGCCGACCCTGGGGTGGCCGACTCTGAGGCGGCCGACCCCGTGGTGTCCGGCCATGGGTCGACTGTGTTCTCTCGACCACGGAGTCAGACTCGTCATGTTGGTTGCCCCGTACTCTTTCTCGATTCGCCGTAAGACAATTGCACAATGAAATTTGTTATTTGATTACGAGCGAGAATTATTAATGGGTCGGACCGCCTTACAAATGAGCATCTATTGATAAACTTTGAGCAAGTGTTCCGGGTGCTCCGAGTTCCTTACTCTGTTTACCTCCTTGCCCTTTGGGGTCTTCAACTCGTAGTTGCCCGGGCGTATTATGGCCTCAATCACATGTGGCCCTTCCCACTCATTGGCGAACTTGCCTCCATCCTGAGCTCGGCTGGCTTCTCTCCTCCGGAGGACGTAGTCGCCGATTTGAAAGTAGCGAGGTAGGACTCTCTTGTCGTGGTACGCCTTTGATTGGCACTGGTAATTTTCCGTGCGAGCCATGGCATCTTCCCTTCTGTCATCAATGAGGTAGAGGTCGGTGGCGTGGTGTTCCTCATTGAGGTCGGGGTCGTACTCCTCAACCCGGTGGGATGGGATCACGCTTCAGCGGGAGCTCGAGCTTCTCATTCTCTTGGTGGCCGAGCTCGGGCTCTTCATTCTCATGGCGGCCGAGCTCGTGCTCTCAGTGGCCGAAGTCCTAGGAGGACCCTTGCAATGTCTAGAGGACCCCTGCAAGGTCTGATTGACCCTTGCAAGGTCTAGATGACCCTTGTAAGGTCTAGAGGACCCTTGCAAGGTCTGACGGACCCTTGCAAGGTCTGACGGACTCCTCAAGGTCCGAAGGACCCGTGCAAGGTCCGATTGTGGCCGAGCTCGTGCTCCTCATTCTCTTGGTGGCCGAGCTCGTGCTCCTCATTTTCTTGGTGGCCGAGCTCGGGTTCCTCGGAGTTGTGGTGGCCAAGCTCGGTCTCCTCATTCTCATGTTGGACGAGCTCGTGCTCTCAGTGGCCGAGCTCGGCTCCTCGTAGTTGTGGTGGCCGAGCTTGGGCTCCCCATTCTCATGGTGGACGAGCTCGGGCTCCTCCATCTCATGGCGGCCGAGATCGTTCTCTCGGTGGTCGAGCTCGGGCTTCGTTGTCGTGGAGGCCGAGCTCAAGCTCCTCCAAGTTCCTCGAGCTGAACTCAACAAGACTTGAGCTTGGCTTCTCGAAGGATGGGAGAAGGATGAGCTCTCTATGTGAACTCGGAAATCATGAGTATGTACAGCTGGGGCAAGCCGAGTCTCTCAACGCGTGCTCGACAAAAAGAGGGATTTGATCAAGCTGAGGTCGGCCATGAACCAAAGTAGGGCTAGCTGGGGTCTCTCCCCCTTCACAGAATTGAGGTTGGCAACGTGAGGTCATACCGCACCTTAGGAGGATTGGGGTCTCCTAAGATGTCTCGAGGCCGAGTGGAGGGGGTTGGACACCTCTTTAGAGCCCCTCCACGGAGCGAGTCAACAAGGGCGGGGATCATGGCTTCGGGACCTCCGTGAAAGTGACGATTCCGCGGGCTGCACAGTCGGCCTCGGCGCGAGGCGGTCTCGCGCCGGCACCCGAGGACCCAACCGCCCTAGCACGGATATGGCGCGGGTCGGCCGAGTTCGCCCCCCCTCTCGCTGTTCGCGCCAGCCTCTGCTAGTCTCCGTGTCGTCTCTCCTTTCTGACGGTTGTGGCGAGTTGACTTCCCCATCTGACGGTGCCTCAGGTGCATGGGGCACATGAGTGCTTGGGCTACCGCGTCCCCGCAGAGGCAGCGGGGGTGGAGGTGCTGGGTACCCCGTCGTTGCCCTTCCACGACGCGGTTCAACGCGGTCGCTGCCTGTTCGAGTGCGGCCGCCTCGTCTTGTGGGTTTGGGATCGGGCGCGCAATGGGCGGTGCTGACTCGCCGTGGGGGCGGTTGTTGTTGAGCTGCCCCCGGAGGTCCTCCGCCACCTCGTGCTGGTTCCCGTTGATCCGATCCCTAAGGTCTCCTCCCGTCCCCACGGGCATGGTCTGCCGACTTGCAGTCGTCCCGTTAGGGTGGTTAGAGATGGAGAGGTCGCAAGTGTTGCGTGAATCATGCGAATTGCAGATGTTCGGCCCTGATCTTGCCATCGATGTGGATGAATGATAGTAGGGAGAGCGCTTAAGCTTGTACAGCCGCTCTCAACAAGAGCACCAATGATGGATTATATGAACCCGGGGGTCCGGATTATACAACCCGAATATATGACCGAATATAATAAGTAAATGAATATAACGAAATATGTGATTAAAACGATAATAGGGGTAGAAATATTATATTAATTGGATGTATATCGCTATTACAGAGGTTCGGGACGTGTAATAATGAGACAAGTGTTGTAAGAAAGTAGAAGATGCTTGAATAGGACACTGGGGAGTGCTTTTATACTCCCCGACCGCTACGGGCCCGGGGTACACGGGAGGAGCCGCGGCCCGCGCCGCGAGACTCACTCCACGCGAGGACCCGGCCCTTGGGCGAGCACAGAGCTCGGCCAAGGGGCCGGCCATGGGCTCGGCCGAGTCCATGGAGGTCGGCTCGACGGCGAGCCGACCCCATGCTGGGCCGACCCCGGGGTGGTTCGCCACGCGTCGCGGGTAGTCCGTTGATACCGGGTCCAACCCGCTCCGTATTGTTCCGCTTCAAACCCGCTCCGTGATTATTCCATCATCAGTCCCTCACTCTCGGGGCAGCGAGAAGTCTTCAGCGCGAGAGAGTAAGACAAAATTAGTAATTACGGGGCCCCAAATTGCGTTTCAAAAAATACAATTCGCGTTCAGGTAGAATTTCCACCGCGATACGACTCCCAACCAGACTAGAATCCAGACATGTGCTCATCCTTATCAGCTCAAGAATCCCCATCCTACCACAACACTTCCACTTCCCCCCATAAATACCCCCTCCATCTTCCAAAACGCAACTCTACACTCAAAAGTCACATCCCTTTCTCTTCCCAAAGTTCCCCCCTTCCCAACACCCTTTTGAATTTCAAAAATGTCAACCCCTTTTCCCCCTCTTTTCTTCCACCCCTTCCTCTATATAAAGTAGCCTCTCCCTCACTTTCCCCCCACACACAAAGCCCCCCAAAATCTGAAAAAATCTCTCCCCCTCCCTCCACATTTCCGGTCGCAACCCCGCCGCCGCCGAACGTCGTGCCGCCACCGCGCCAAGTCTGCCGCCGACAAGCGGAGCTCACACCCGGCCAAATATATAATTTTTGAACTATATATTCATAATTATGAATTATGAATAGTTTTGGAACCGTGCTCACCTTACATGGTGGACACGGTTGACGGTTCCACAACATAATTTGCCCCACACTTGACGCACAAAATGGAAGTTAAACATGGGGTAAAACTTGATCAAATACAAACTCATCATGAACAGATACTACATTGTAACATAGTCAGTAGTACTCAAATATATATATATATATATATATATATATATATATATATATATATATATATATAAACTCATCATAGGGCAGGTGGTTTTCTTCTTTCATCCCTTTTTACATGGAAATCTCAGCTAAAAAAATCTACTGTGTTAATCTGGTTTCTAGGTTTTACAGCAGGCACTGCACCAAGCTAGCTCTTGACCTTGTTAAGTAAACCAATTACCTAAACAACATCACAGCTCACATTGCTTGCTAGCTTTGGGATATGCAGTAGTCTGATCATTAGATGGAAAGCAAGCTAAGCTGAGATCAGAGTACAGTATTGCAGCCTGCCTGCAATTAACAAGGAAATGGCAAATCTAATCTATTATGGTTTTGAGTGAGGCTAATTTGCAGGATAATAGCTAGGATGCCAAATATGGAGAATTAGAGAAGTTTTCGGAATTATACTTTGCCTTGTAAATCAATATCAATCACCCAGAGATATGCAGATAGAACGTACAAACTATATATGTTGCTCAATCTGCAGTAGCATTCATAATCAAAACCATTTAATTTGGCTGTCAAACAATATATATGCACTGCATTTTCTGAAACAAGGATGGCAATTATGTTAAGTGATAGTATATTGGAATTGAATAAGGAAAAAAGAGCGAGCATTTAGGTTTTGTGACCACTTTCATGTGGTAAAATGTCCTAACTTTTTCAGTTCTTTTATTAATGATTATGTTAAATTTACCCATTGTTCTTCAGAAATTTTAGCTAACCAAAGCTAATAATAGAATTTTAGCTCATACTTTTCTTAATTACTTCTTTCACCCAAACTATACTCCAACTCCACAACTTAGTTGCTAAAAACGCACAAATGTATGTAGTCCCTAACATCCATTAAACTAATAGGGGGAAAAAAAAGTTCAGTTTAATATTAGCCTATTAGGTCAATGGTTTACGTATGCCAGTATTGTGCATTGTGTTTGGTTGATGAGTTTTGCCTATAGAAATGGGTATGAAAGTGATTGTTATTGTTTGGTTGATAGCTTTTAGAACACTACTATGGGTTTCGAATACCTCATGAATTGAAAAACTCATACCCAAATAAAATAAGAGTTTCATTCACTTATTCATTCTCAAGCACTACTATTAATAACCATTCTCATTCCACCCTATTACCAAACCTGTTAAATACTTTCACCAAAACCCATTACCATTACCAAGTATTTGATATCCATTCCGATTCCGATTCTCATGTGCGAACCAAACACACCCTAAAATTATACAAAAATTACAAATATGGGGATATTGCATGACATGCTATCCCCAAAATCTCAATGTAGTAATAATGGTTTAAATGCAGTAAAGATATTTTAATTCAAAGAAGAACTTTGAAAAGGTTTTAAACATTAAAGTATGGAAGGCTAAGACAAGGACTTGCTCTAACAGGGAGAAATTATGAAGTTCATACAAAACATTCTTATAAAATAAACTCAATATATAGTTTACACCATTATACACAACACAATCATCATTCTAATCAACACAAAGTAAAGCTTTATGAATTCAGTATTTCAATGATAACTATAAAGCAAAGTTCAAAATGTATGAATCACCATAAGCAGACTCCTATGAATTGGGCACACTACTGCAAATCCCTGCTAACGCTGTGGAAAGAATACACTTCAAACATCCTGGCACATATCAAAATATAAATACATTTAAATTAATGCTCATACACAATTAAGAAACTCAATTAGATTCATGCGGTAATATGGGTTTACTCTCAATATGATCCCTTAGATTTACGGGAAAGCCCACAAACGCTATCCGAATGTGTGCTCCAAGTGAAGCCTACCTTGTAACCCTAGCCGGTAAAAGGCCACAATGAGGTAAACCAACTTATTAGGTTGTCCATAGTTAACTGACTCAAACCAAGAAGGTCAATAGACAGTTCTCATGGGTAGTTGAATTTAGAGCAACCACATTTTGGTTTTTGGCAAGTTTTTTGCAGGTTAGAAAACCATAATGGAGTTTTTACACAAATGGGAAGGGAGGTTTTTGGCTTGTTTTTGTGGGCCCTATATGGTGAGAGAAATAGGCAAGGTTCTGGGCGCGTAAAAAGATACCTTTACTTTTTAAACCTACAAAAAACCTCAACAAATGAGGTTGCTCTTAAAACCTTGTAGTGACCAAAGCAACTGTCTAACCAACTTGGTTAAGAGGTTGTCCCTTCAATACAAACCCTTGACCACATGCAAGGAGAGCCTCAATTCAAGCCTTCCGAATTCAAAAAAATGTAGTTGTCAATTTCAAAAATAGCTTCTAAGTGTTATTATATTGCAAAGTCATGCATTCGATAACTAAGCATGGCTCTTTTTCTTTGGGTGATAAAAGAAACTATCAGCAACTACTCAAGGGTATGTATTGGATAAACCACGATCTTATACAATAGCCCGCAAACCACATAAGAGAGGTAAACTATATTAGGAAGACCTTGTGCAATGGGGCTCAGCCGAAACTCCAAATTAAAGAGTGTTGACAACAATCGTATTCATGACCTTTTGGTAGGTAAAATCACTCTTTTGTTTATACGGAGTATCCATTATTTTTGTAAAAAGTTAAAAATAGAAGTATAGTGATGATAGATGTGCTCAGGCTGAGGTCAGTGCTAAAATTAGGACATGTAATACATACATAGGCAATTTAATTGCAATTCACACGTACCATTCAATTCGTTTATTCAGAAGAATCATCATCATCATCCTCAACATCATCAACTTCTTGTATTTGGTCCACTGTAATTAAATCAAATGACAAAAAAGCAGTTAAGAATAAATTGAACAAAATCCATAATTCAAAAAAAGACATACTGTGAGAGAAAAGAGGCAGACCATGGCGAATAATGATGGGTTCGATTCCATAATCCTCCCGGTGCTCATTAAGTTTTTGGGCAGATTCCTTAACAGGGACGGGGCAATTTAGTAACTCAATTGACGCCAGTGTGTTTACATCTTCAAAGCCAGTTGGAATACCTTCCAATTTTGTACACTTTTTAAGGACTAGGCGCGTAAGGCAACGAAACTGATCCCCTCCATCAACTTCCCAACTTTCAAGGTTTTCAGCTTCAAGGTACAAGAATTTTAGCTTACGGAAGTTTCCCTCTGTGGGTTCCCAATCTGGACCATCAGACACTTGTTTCAGTTTCAGTACTTCAAGATTGGGCAACATGCCAATTACGTTTATTTCACTCCATGGCAAACAAGTTCTCTTCAGTTTCAATTTCTTGATGTTGAGGTTTAGTGGCAAAGACTCCAGATTCTGAAGGCCTGTTGGTGAGCCTTTCCGGAATGCAATCATTAATGTCTCCAGCTTATCCAAACTTCCAAGATTCTCAAGGTTAGCAGGCTCTATGGCCTCTGGACTTGGCTTAGATCCACAAATAATCCCCAACTTTTTTACATTTGGAATCCTTGAAAACACTTCTTCGGTACAATGGTCTAGACTCAACCAGTACAATGTGTGCAAGGCCTCTTTGACCTCACTTGGAGGATCCAATGAAAGAGCATAGCTAACCTCAACATGCCTTAGCTGTGGTGACTCCAAAAGGTTAGATGGCAAACACATATCACTGAAGCCCGTTCCATTCTGAGAAATAATAAGTGTTTGCAAATTTTGAGTCCTAGAAACTATATCCACCAGCTCTTCAGAACTTAGACAGTCATCCAAGGCTATATCCATGTACCTCAGAAGAACTAGATCCCTCAAACTCATGAAAATTTCATTAGATAATGGAGGTAATTCAATCAAATCCAACACTCTTAACAAGTTAGACGGTAAACACTGGCCAATAAGTGTTGGAATAGCATCTCTATGCAGAAAAGATAGGGAGCGAGATTTGTCCAAATTATAGCAAATATAAACATTTCCATAATTTGGCCAAAAAGTTAACCAACGAAATCCCTTGTGCTTTACACTTTCACCGTTGCTTGTACTTCCACCATCATTGCTTTTACTTCCATCATCATCATTGATTTTACTTCCACCATCATTGCTTTTACTTCCATCATCATTGCTTGTACTTCCATCATCATTTGAATTCTTCACTGTTCTAAATCTTCTCATGCTACCAGCATACAAAAGGTTCTCCTCTTCACCTTTGTTCACACAAAAGTCATGCAATAGATCATGCATTCTGCATGTCTTGACTTCACCATTAGAGCTCTGATTGCGAATGAGAACCAAGCTTTTACTAATAAGAGCTTGTAAGTACTCGAGAGCTGTGTCTTCTAATGCCCTGCCCATATCTTTCAATGTGTTGTCCATGTCTTCCAATGACTTGTCCACACCTTGCAATGCCTTGTCCATTACCAATGTCCTGTCCATGTCTTCCACTGCTGTCTTCTCCATGTATTTTAATTTCTTCTCTATGTCATCCAATACTTTTTTCATGTCTTTCAATGCCTTGCCATTGACTACTTTCACAAACCCCTCGGCAATCCACAACCTAACAAGCTTTTTGACAGGCATCTCACTGTCTTCTGGAAAGACTCCCAAATGTAGAAAACAAGGTTTCAAATGTGAAGGCAAGTGTTTGTAACTCAAAGCTGGAATTTTTGTACATTGTTCATCAACTGTTAATATCAATGCTAATTCTTTTTGAATATTCTCCCATTCACCCAATGATACTTTACTGATCAGAATCCCCGCAACTACAACTATGGAAAGGGGTAATCCTTTGCATTGTTTAGCGATTTCCTTACCAACGCCCTCATAACCCAGTGATTTTGGAAAGCGTGTTTCAAAATCAAGGTTTCTAGAAAATAGAAACCAACTATCCTCTTTATTTAAAAGTTTCAAGCCATAAGGTGTCTTACCTGAATGAGTATCCCGAGCCACCTTTTTGTCTCGAGTAGTCAATAATAAGATGCTCCCCTTAGTATCAGTCGGAAAACAAAGTTTGATATCATCCCAAGCTTCATGACTCCATACATCATCCACAACAATTAGATACCTTCTTCCCTTCAACAGCTTTTGTAATCGATCTTTTAAATCTTCCTTGGTTGAGGTCTTAATTTCTTCGGGGGTCAAGGTCGTAATGCATCGAAGAAGGGCAATGAGAGTTTGTTTCCCCTCATATTGTTGTGACATCGTAGTCCAAGCGCGAACATCAAAATGATTTGTAACTGGATCATCATAGATTGTTCTTGCTAAAGTCGTCTTGCCTGTTGAAATATTATATAAGGTATCCTCAAATGTAATTCATTCAAGAAAGAAAGAAGTTGGAGTAGAACTCACAATATCTATATTCTTGCTCATGAACAAACTATAAACTACATGCTTGATTCATTTATAACAAAAATAAGAGGGAAAATGACACTTTTTTCTTATGAGTAATAGTTGTATAGCTTATTTCTTCCCTCAATTATAGGCACATCTACTTTTTCTTCCTTAGTTATTTTGAAGTGTTTATTTTTATCTAAACCGGTTAGGTAGTTACAATTGGCATCCAAAACCCTAAAATTTGAAGGACCTTTTAGGAATATTAACCATAGCTTTCCAATGCTATGGTTCATTTAATCCAAACGCATGAAATAAAAAGAACAATTTCCCTTAATTCTAGTTTTTAGACATGCAATTAAGATTGAAATAGGAGAATCGGTAGAAACTATCTTGTCCATTTTGCACTTTTAAGTTACAATTGGGAGATCAGTTGATATTCTTTAAAATAAAAACAAAAAAACAAAAAAACTTATTTTTTAAAATAATGTCTGCAATGAATAGTTAATGAGTTTGGATAAAAATACTAAAATAGTCACTTCAAGGATAACTAAAGGGGAAATAGTAGAGGCCGCCCCTATAATTAAGGGTCCGTTTGGAAACCTGAAAAATGTTTATAAGAAAATTATTTTCAGAAAATTACTTATTTTTCGAAAAATATTTTTACTTCGAAAAAATTGTAATTTATGCCCCTCCATAATATGTCAATTATCAATGTCACTCCTGAATTATTAATGGTGTAAATGTTGCCGCTCAATTTTCAAAACAGTACATATATTACCCCTCCATAGTGTAAATGTTGCTCCTCAATTTTCAAAAAGATACATATATTGCCCCTCTCGTACGGTACGGGAGGGGCAATATATGTATCATTTTAAAAATTGAGGAGCAACATTTACACCACTAATAATTCAGGCGTGACATAGATAATTGACATATTATGAAGGGCATAAATTGCATTCCATTTTTACTTTCTAGTGTTTTGCTGAATGTCAGAAAGCTCTTTCTGTTTGGCTGAAAGTTAAGAAATTGCATTTTTTTATTTATTTTCTTGAAAATCAACATATTATTATTATTATTATTATTATTATTATTATTATTATTATTATTATTATTATTACTCCGTATTATTATTATTATGTGGTGATGGTGGTGGTGTGGTGTGGTAGTAGTGGTGGTGGTAGTAGTATGGTATTGGTGGTTGTGGTGATGGTGGTGTGGTAGTAATGGTGGTGTTGGTGTTGGTATTGGCGGTGATGGTTGTGTGGTGGTAGCATGGTTGCAATAGGCGCTAGTCGGGCGATAGAGTAGCGCCTAGCGCCTAGACGGCCTAGGCGGCTAACTAAAAAAATGAAAAACAGTGCACGTGTGTAGGTGCATATATGTCATATTATATATATATATATATATATATATATATATATATATATATATATATATATGAAAAAAATTAGCAAGGTCGAGTCGGCCGGGTTAACTCGGCTAACTCGACAGAAATTGACGAGTTAACTCGGCATAATCGGCCGAGTTAGGCGCCTAGGCGGCCGGTCTCCTAGGCGGGAGCCTAGGGGCGAAATCGCCACGGCCTAGGGGCGCCTAGCGCCTAGGCGCCGATTACTAGGTGCCTAGGCGGGATTTTTGCAACCTTGGGTGGTAGTGGTGACTGTGGTGGTTGTGGTGGTAGTAATAATAATAATCTAGAAACTAACTTAAAAATGAGGAGAGGGAAGAGAGATGGAAAATAAAGAATTCGAAAAATGTCTTATGACTAAAAAACTAGGAAGATATTTTCTGCCAAATTGGTTCTGATTTCATTGACTAGAATGAATGTTTTCCTTAAGTACCCAAACACTAAAAAAAATCTAAAAAATGACGGGTCATTTTCATGTTTTTAACCGGACCTTAGGAGGCAAAATCAACTATTCCACTATAATTTAGAAGAGAAAATTGTCATTTTCACCACTAATTAATATATGTATATTAAGCAAAAGTAATTGCCCACTAATTTGGGCAAAACTATTTTGTAAACCCTAATCATACAAGATCTTGCGCCACGGGTTTGACCGAGGGAGTATTGGTATGAATTGATCTCTAGTACAATAATTATACTCCACCTACTCATACACCTCTTTCGGGCTTAGGAAAGTATAATTTGGTGGTCAAAGTACCTATGAGGTCCCTATACTATAGTGTTTTGTTCAATTTAGTCCTTGTATTTCAAAAAGTGAAACAATTAAGGACAATATCGATATGAACAGATACTACAATGTAATAGGGCCATTAACATTCAAAAAAGGACAATATCGATATGGCGCTGACATAAATAAATACTTCTTTAAATAAATATTACACTAATATGTCTTATTTTGGACATATTAATGAAATAAGACATATTAATGTAATATTTATGTGAGCAAATATTTGTTTATATCAGCGACACATCAGCTATTGTCCTTAATTGTTTCACTTTTTAAAGTATAGAGACTAAATTAAACAAAATTAAGATTGAAGAACTAAACTGAACAAAACACTATAGTACAGGGACTACATAGATACTTTAACTAATTTTGGTTGTTGAAAAAAAAAAACTTAAGATAATGATCGTACAATTTTGGTTAATGGTTCGACTAAAAATACCACTTCGAGAAAAACTCAAATTGAAAATAACTATACTAATAATAAGTAATAACTTAAAAATTGAGTCAATTACGGAATATTTCTTTACAGTCTTAACATATTATTAGTAGTATCTAGTTAACATAATGACAACGTTAACTAAAATAATAATAATAATAATAATAATAATAATAATAATAATAATAATAATAATATATCATTTTTGCTATTAAAAGATACTTCTAATAAGGTAAAAACTCCCACCAATACCGTTAAAAATTGTATTGTGTTATAACTCAATATTTCATTTACTCTATTTTACTTAATTATCATATTTATTATGGATAACGGTCAAATAATTTTTAAAATTAAAAATTAAATAAATTAATCGGTCACCGGTGACTTGGCCGAAAATTTGACCGGAAAATTTAATGGCAGGATTAAATGTGATAAAATTTGAATAGTGATGCATCTAATTTGAAAATATTAATAGTCAGGAACCAAATGTAATACAAATTGAATAGTAATGCATCTAATTTAAAAATTTTAATAGTCAAAAACTAAAATTGATACATGTATTATAGTCAAGGGACTAAAAATAATATTTTATCTTTTTTATTAGTCAAATTAACTTTTTTTTATTTACCTATTTTCTTCAGTTTTTTTTTATAAATTTTAAATTTAATTTTTTTTATTTAACATAGTTTCTAAATATATAAATTTATATATAATGAAAAATAAAATTATAAAATAAGATGGAAAGTAATAAAATTAGAGTTTAAGGAAAATGCATTACCGATGCCTCCCATTCCAGAAATTGAGATAATTTGTCGTTCTTCATTCTTGCATTTGAGTTGATCAAGTATCTGCTTCAACTCCTCGCGGTTTCCCACCATTTCTTCCTTGCGCGGCGTGAGAGGGACGGTGTCCTCATCGGGAGGAAATTGCGAGGAATCACCTAACGAGCCATCGTGCTGCTTCACGGTCTCCAACAATTCGTCTATGTTTTTTCTGATTTCTTCCAGGCTCCCATGGATCTCTCTGCGAGCGTCTTCTTTCCGCTTTGCGTTTTCCGCCAGGAGAATGTTTCTGAGTTGAATATCAATCTCGTCTTCTGCTTTAAGAGAAACGTCTTTGATTTGGTTCTCCACGCTTTTGATTTCGGCATCCTCGAAGGCTTTGATGTGGAATTTCTTCATGAAGGCTTGCAAGGTAGAGAGATGTTGAATGAGAGATCTCATCTGTTTTAGGTCATCGGGGAGCACCCGGGGGCTGGGCTGCTGAATCTCGAACTCCATTGTTGCCTTGAGAGAAGCTAATACGACGGAAGCCATCTCTCACTGTTATCAATAAGTCTCTCTGTAATGAGTAATGAGTGATGATTAGCTATGAGAGATTGAAAGCTTTGCAGCACAGCTCGCAGCAATGGCAGTGGCTTTATTTCCGATCAAGTCAACTGTGAAGGAGTCCTCCGTGTTAAGTCAGATCATAGAATACTCATTATATTACAGATTACTTCTAATTTTTAAAGACAACATACATTAATGCTGATGACAGCCTCTGAATTTATTTATTCACCCAAAAGTTGAATTCTTAACTCAAGGACCCCCATACCCCAACCTAATCTAGCATTTGACATGATATAAATCACAGTGATTCAATGACTCAGCAGACAGAGCATTTGACTCAATGGCTCAAACAAAGTCAAATACTGGTGAACATATCTCCATACTATCTTTTTTTTTTTTTTCAAATATTGTCTACCAAATCAGTCTGCTAAACTCGTGCGGGCACCTCTGTATATATTTATTTTTGTACAGTCTAGTTGTTCAATGTGTGTAATCTTTACAAATTTAGAATTTGTAGTAGATCGCACATCTTTTCTAACTTTACTAGAAACGAAAATCATGTTCTATTTACATGGCTATTCTTTAAGTTTGATCTATGAAAAAATTAATGCAAAAAATGGACAAAATGAAATGAGATTGGGAAACTAAATACTATAACAGGTTTTGGAAACAAAGTCAACATCAAACAGAAAAGAAATTTTAAAAAAATTAAGAATGAATCAAGCAGTAGCTCTAACCTCACAACTATCATTTCCCATTTCATGTTGCTCTTCTCAAATCAAAGTAGTCTTGTGTGAGACCGTCTCATGAGACGTGAAATATTTTTTAGTCAAAGCATAATACTTTTTTATGAACTCATAAAAAAATATTACTCTGTATATTTTAACTAAAAAGTATTACACACGGGAAGGGCAACACGGCTCCAATGCAATTAACTGCAATCTGTGTCAATCTTTTGAAGTTTATGGCAGATGCCAAGAGTGTGAGCTTGCTAAGTTGTCTTCTACAGACTCTACTATCTGTGTATGCTGTGATTCATCATATTCATACCCATGGATTTTGATCTATGCAAAAAGTCATGCAAAATAGAGAAAACAAAATGAGAGAGCAGTAAAAATTAGTGAAAGTAAAGAAACAAAAGAAATTAAGAATGAATTAGCCATGGTTTCTGACCTCAAAATTTCCTTTTCCATAATATTCCAGTAGGTTTGCTTGAATATCCTTGGCAGAAGCAATAACAGAAGGGTGGCTATGCCTGTCCAACTCAATTGACTGCAGGGTGAAAATTTCTCCAAAACTGCTAGGGATCTCTTCCAAACAAGAACAAGATTTTAGGACTAGACGTTCGAGACATGGGAAAGAATCAATATAAACCTTCAACGGCTCGAGTTTTTTAGCTTCAAGGAGCAAGAATCTTAATCTATAGAATCCTCCTTCGACTACTTCCCATACTTTTCCATGGAAGGCATTTTCCAGCTTGAGCACCTCAAGCCATTGCAGCGTGCCAATCACCGTTAAATCCCTCTCAGAAAGATTAATTCCACTCAACGTCAACTTCTTCAATTGTAAAGGAAACACAGACTGTTCTGGAAGAGTTATAGAAGAGCCAACAGGAACTGAAATTTTTAGCATCTCCAGCTCTACCAAATAGTCAAGATTACCCAAAATAATAGGATTGCTACAAGACCCACAAGTGTGACTGGGCTCTAAGTCTTCTTTGCAAAACATTTTCAGTTTCTTTATATTTGGAAACTTCAAATACACTTCCTTTCTGCAATGAATTGGACCAACCCAAGATAACGTTTGCAAATTCTCTTTAACCACACTGGGAGGATCAACCGTATACAAAGTACCAAGTTCGAGATGCCTTAACTGTGGTGACTCCCAAATTGTTGATGGCAAATGCCGAGTTGGTGCTCCAAGTTGTAATTCACTACCAGAAACAACAAGTGTCTGCAAATTCAAATTAGTTGACACTACATCATCGAGACCTTCAAACCATTGTGTTACAGATAAGTATCTCAAAAAAACTAAGTCACCTAATTGCATTGGCACTCTTTGGAGGAATGCAGATGGAACAAAAGCCAAAACTCTTAACAACTTGAAGGGTACACAAATTTCGGGATTTTCATGAAAGAAGAAAATGGAGCGAGGGTTGTTTAAAGTAAACAACACATAATAATCAAAACTATGTGTGTATAAACTTAACCAACGACATGAACTTGCGAACACATCTGACCACCTTGGAAGTTTTTGAGTATTTACTACACATAAAATACCCTCTTTTTGAGCTTCTCTTGAACAAATGTTATGCAATGCACTGTGCACCGTACAAGTCTTAATTTTTCCATCAAAACTCCGACTACTTATTAAGACAAGACTTCTATTAACAAGACCTTCTAAATAACCATAAGCATTCTTTTCTAACTCCTCGTGTTTTGATGGCTTCACAAATCCCTCAGCAATCCATAACCTAAGAAGTGTTTTAACTTGGATTTCACTACGCTTTGGGAAGACTCCAAGATATAGAAAACAAACTTTCAATTCTTCTGGCAGTTGACTGAAAATGAGAGTGAGTGCACTATGACCCAGAATTCCCAATGACTCTAATTCCTTTTCAATCTTTTTCAATTCATGTTGTATGTTGTTGTTGCATTCAGATAAACGCTCTGCAACTACAACAATTGTTTGTGGTAGTCCATCGCATTTCTCCACAACATGGAATAAGTGACTCCTAAAGTTTTCAAACCTTGGTGCACTATACTTTTCAAGAGGAAAGATATTGCAGAATAGATCCCAACTTTCATTTGAATCAAGTAAACTCATAACATGATGATTACCTTTGATTGAGCAAGCATAATCAGCCACCTCATAGAACCGAGTGGTCAGCAATACTCGACTTCCATTCTCAGAACTAGGAAAACATCGTTTGATGTCTTCCCAATGCTGAGTGCTCCATATGTCATCCAAAACAATTAGATACCTCCTGTGTATCAAGCATTCGCGTACCAGCTCTGCTAGTTCACCAGGAGAGATTCCCTTTCCAATTTCATGTGGCTTTGCTGGTATAATTGACAGAAGAATGTCGCGTAGCATTTGGCTGTCGTTGTACTTTTGAGGTATAGTAATCCAGCATTTCACCTGGAAATGTGATGCAACCAGTTGATCTTCAAAGATTCTTCGAGCTAAAGTTGTCTTTCCTATGCCCAACATCCCAATAATTGGGATCACTTTTAGACCACCAAAGCCACTGAAGAGTTGATTCTTTATTGTTCTAACATCATTTTGACGACCCACCATTCTGTCCTCAAACTTTGGAGAGCACCTCAAGGATCCATCTCCCTTAACATTGTTGGTTGTGCTGTTGATAATGTTCAGCAACTCTGCTGCATTTTCTGCTACTTGTCGCAAGGTTTGGTGGAGTTTCCGGGAAGCTTTTTCTCGGCGCTGTGTGTCTTTGGCAAAACGAATTTTCCCTAAGAGTGTTTTGATGTTATCTTTTGCTTTGAGTGCAAATTCTCTGATTCTGGTTTCCAAATCTTTGATTCCAGCGCCGTGAGAATTGGATATCTCCAGAAATTCTCGCAAAGAACAAAGGTTTTCTTTGAGAGATTTCGGTGGCGCTTGAACACAAGACACCCTTGTGAAGGATTGCAGAAACCTAAGCTGAATTGTCGCCATGAGAGAAGTTAAAGCATCATAACTCATCTTTCTCTCTGTTTCTCCATCTTTTTCTATATTGCTAATCTCCAACAACTCTGCTGCGTTTTCTGCTGCTTCTCGCAAGGTTTGACAGAGTTTCTGGGAAGCTTCTTCTCTATGCTCGGTGTCTCTGGAGAGAAGAAAGTCGCTGAGCTGCATTTCGATGTCGTCTTCAGATTTCAGTGCGAAGTCTCTGATTTTGATCTCCAAATCTTCGATTGCAGCACCGCGTAAATCGAATGTCTCCAGAAATTCTCGCAAAGACGAAAGGGTTTCAAAGAAAGATTTGATGGGCGCTCGATCATCATGAAGAGACACCCTTGGGGGAGGTTGCAGAAACTGAAGCTGAATTGTTGAGATGAGAGAAGTTAAAGCAACAGAAGCCATGATTGCAGCTTTCAGAAGAGTGATTATAGTGAGAGAGAAAGGCTTTCTCTGTTAAAAAGCCAGTAGATAGGTCAAATCTGGGATGGTGGCATGGTTTGTATTGGGCAAGAGCGATTTATTTGAAAAAAATAGAACGTTAAAGGGAGGATTCATTCCGCCATGGTAGGTACGAGTTGAACCCTCAAAATCTCAAATTGCAATTTTTGTACCTGAGGTTTTAGATAATTGTATTTCACGACAACAACTAGGGAAGAAAATAATATTTGTTGAATGTCAAGAAAATTTGAAATTGAAACTTGTAACTATTAAAGACCTTGTGATCAAGCGATTATTGCTCTCTCAAATGGGAGGTCACAGAGCACTACAGAGGTTATATAGCATATTTTTTTTTGGTAATTGGTATATCTAACAGCCTCCCATGAAGAGGCCCTAATTGATTCGATTAGCAACGCCATGCACATCTGGTTAGAAAAAATTTTTCATGCGGTCACAAGTGTCAGTCAAGAGGGAGGTTCCCGAAGCCATTGATTGCCCCAAGTTTGCAAGATAATTCACACATTGATTCCCTTCTTTGTGAATATAGAAAAATCGAATCGAGACGAATCTCTCAGCCGAATCTTTATTATCTTTAATAAGCATGACTATCCCTTATCATGGTTTTCCTAGGCGCTCAATCGCTCATGATAATCCTTGCTCTAATTATTATATACCAATTCATTTATGTAATTCTTTCTTATCTTTTAGGGGAAATACTATAAACTTTGCTTAAATTATTTAATTTGAAAGATCGCAAATGTCAAGCCATTAAAATTTTGATTAAATTTTTAAGTGACATGTATCATTTAGAATTGTAGTCTCACTCATTGTATAGGTGTGAATAGTGTAACTATTACACACGGCTCATTTCTGTAATTTGCACTTATAATCATAAAGTAACGAGTTCAGATCTTTACCTCTTAGCTATGGATAACTTAGACTGATCATTATCCTTCATAGATCTACTTCTTTGTGATATTTTGTAAGCTAGGATCACAAAGTGAAATTTGTTAACATTCAAAAGAATTGTGGAATTTCTCGCGTCATCCAAATTAGTTTGAACTTTAAAATTGACATAAACAAGTTTTACTTTTACCAATAATATCCAATAAAATTTTAAAGAGATAAAAGTACAAATTAACTCTTTCAAGATTTGAGTTGGATGAAAATGGACTACACCAATTGAAGGATACAAATTACATTTTTTTTCCTTAATTCAAGAACACAAAGATAAATCTTGCAACTCTTGCCCTTTTGGTACATCCCTTCAAGAACCAAAAGTTAACAATCAATTCTATAAAAGTCCACATTTTCCCTTAACAGAGACCATATAAAAGGCAATTAAAGTTGCTACTTAGGGAGACCAGAGAAA